AGCGGGCCAAACCCGTCCCGTTCGACCCTTCATGCAGTTGTTTTATTTTTTGACTAATGTTTTTAACATTTCTAACCCGCAAAGAAAATATATTTATTTGACTCACTTCACTTAAATTTACAGATAACCTGCATGGCCCGTAGATAATTATTAAATAATATAAATAATTATTTTTTTAAAATATGGTTAATATTTTTTTAATTAGTTTTTTATTTTTTATTTTTAATTCATTTTACCTAAAATTATTATATTTAAAAAAAAATAACCCATTTTTAGGAAATTATTTTTTCTATCTTTGTGGATTAGCGTGTATCCGCGATATAAATAAAACCAACCCGTATCCCATCCGAATAAAATACACTTAATTTATATCCGCATCCACAACTTACTTTTCCCAAATTGATCGCTCCGCATCTATCCTGCGACGGGTCAAACAGGAGGGACCCGTGTGATATGATTTGATTTAATATATAATGATAACCAAAGCAATTAAAAATATCAATCGAATCTGTACATAGAAGTCCTGAAATTTTTAATTTATAAACTTCTACTATACAGTAACTTTAATTACAAATTTAAAGCAAAAAAAAATATAAAATCAAACTAAATAGATGTCGTTCCATATTCTAAGGGATTCGGTGTATATTTGTTTACAACTAAACAACCGTAAGATTTTGTCAATTTAATAGAATCGGGTCAAACCCATTTTCATCGGGTAAAATCTATTGATACAAATCATAGCCTAAAAATAATACAGTGGCATAAATCTGTAATTACTATTGAAAATCAAGGGCACCTCAAAAAAGGGCCTTGTGTTTTAATAGTATAGATCTTACAATTAATTAAAGTAAATACTATATTTTATTTTAAAATAACAATGAATGAACGCTATTTAAAAGTGTCGATACTAGTCATCTTGGTTCGAACACGTGTATCATATTTATCCAAACGTTTAATTTCAGACGCACTAATTTCTATGGAAATTCTAATATATCACCCATATATATATTCACCAGAAATGCTTTATTTTGACGCATTAGTTGTTTTTTGGTAGTAAAACACAACAATTTATCACGTTTAAAAAGTATATAGATTGCTAGTTTTAATTATTCATTCAGTAAAAAAGGCTATTAACCAAAAAATCAAAGACCTTAATAACTGCTCTAAAAATAACACATGATATAGTTTTTTCCCTTCTAAAGTGTTATTTAATCCCCATCTCAAAACTGTTTGATTTTAGTAATGATAGTTTTGTGCTAAATTAAATGATCACTCAAATTCCCCCTTGAATTTCGAAACATATGGAACTTGAAAGAAAAAAATACTAGAAAACAAGTGAGTTTCATTGTGGAAATCATTACCGTTGTCTTCGATTTTGGGTAATTTAACAGGTCTGCCCTCTCCGCCGACGGTAGATTCTGGATCAGCCATTCTTACTCGCTTGCTATCGCCAGAGACGCAATCTCCAGCTAGAGTGGGCAGAGTAATATCCTTTTCCATGACAACGACTCTACTTGAAGTGTTCGACGACTAACCCATCTT